CTCTGTTTGGCACTTTTTCTTTAGACTCTCCTCTCAGCAATTCATTCTTGCCCTACATGGTTGTCAGTCAGGAAGTCCCTCTTTTCTGTACCACAATGGGAGCACAAGACCCAATTTGGCCAATCGAGGTTCTTTCTCTGGAACATTGTGGGGTGCAGATGAGAGCAGGCCTCTCCCGTCACATCACAACTCTGAGCACACTATAAGACTAGACTTCCCGAAGCTTTGCTCCCATAAGGCAGAGAGTGGAGTCAGTGCAGAATCCCTCAGGTCGGAGAGGGAGAGGCTGTGATCGGCTGTGGAGACAACGGATGCAGCCATGCACCAACGCAGTTCTGCCTCGGCACTGTGTCAATAAGGTGACTTTTCCTCCCCTTTCGTTTTTTGTGTAGGGGAGTTTTAGGTGAATTTGTCATTTCTAGCACACATCTCCTGTGGCTCGGATTTGGAACCTACAATGCCATCTTTGAAAATAGGTTTGATATTCTTAAGTACTGTATATACTTGTGTATAAGCTGAGTTTTTTCAACACATTTTTAATGCAGTTTTTGTGGTAAAATTAGGTGCCTCGGCTGATATGCGGGTCGGCTTATACTCGAGTATATACGGTAGTCGTGTATCAAGGGAGAATGATGTACAGAGTTTGTAAACATAGGACCTGAAAACATGCCACTTTTTACGGACCCAGTACATACCAGAACAAAGTTTTGGTGTGTTCTTGTCTAAAAGGGACAGATGTAACCAAGAATCAGATCGAACTTCAATGGCGCAGGAAAAGTAGACTTCTGTCTACTGCCCGTTTTTTGTTTTGTTTTAATTTCAGTTCACTGTTGTTCTCTAAAATTTGGCAGAAATGGCCAGTGAAGGCCTCTTCTCCCCCAGGTGAACACAATTATGTAAATATCGTCTTGGAACACCTGGGTTATAGTTCAAAAACAAAGGCCAAATCCAAACACCTCCTGAGAGTTACTTTCTTTTTATATTTACTCAAAACGTACAGAGATCACATGGAATAAGACAATCAGAGCTGATGAATCCTGGAAGCTTGGTGATGAAACCAGCCAATATACCGATTTATAAAACCAAAAGTAACATCAAGAATCAGAACCTTGTTAAGACACATATTTACTAGGTTGGCATTTGCTGTAGGGTAATTTGACCTGCAGATTTACTCTTGTTTAATTTCCCACAATACCTTCAGTTGGTCATTTCATATTCTTCTAAAATTCCTAAAATGGGCCATGTATTATGCTAGTCACTTTACGCTTCAGTTATTCTTTGGTAGCTACAGCTCCCAAAGTATGCCCTTCCCAGGCTCTTGCTCTCCAACTGAGAAATTCTCAAACTTCCTAAGCCCCTAAACTCCCCACGTGGGAAAGGCTTCTGATCACGTCACCCTTTTCACTGTTTGCCTGCAGTATACTACTGTCATTGCTGCAGAACGGTACACTCACTCGTCCTTCATTGTAAAGTCTATGCACTGCGTTTGTCTGCCTTTCTTATTTTCGGAGGAAGGAGGCTCTGTGTTTTAACCCTCTGTGTTTCCGGCTCCTCACACAGTGCATTTGTTTCTGGCCACTCATTGAACAGTTGATGTTTCATATCCACCCAGCAGCACTATGGAAGAAAGGTCTGTCAATCTACTTGGAAAGGGAACAGTCTTCCCAAACACTGTGAAATGTAGTCCTACTCTAAAACACATGGGGTGGCTATGAGTCACCATAGACTTGACAGCAATGGGTGCTTAGAACAGTGCAGAGTAAACGCTCCTCATAAATGCTTGCTGAATACATACATATGCATGGGGCAGTAATAAGTGATAACATGGTCCCGACTGACAAAGCTCAACAGACAAATGAGTAATTGGCCAATTCAAATTTAAAGTGAAACAGAGGTAAGAAATCAAAACAGTGATGGAGCATAACAGGGGCAGAGATGAATGTTTTTCTTTTCTGCTGTGTCCTGATGCCTGCTCTATTGCTTGTGCTCTGAGAAACATTTAAAATCCACTATTGAATGATATATGAGTATAACCTTGACATCCTTTGAAGAGAGGGCCGCCATAAAAATCTATTAAGGGGATAAAATAAATAAGACGATTAGATTTTAGAAAGACTGCTGGCTGTCAACAGCAAATAAATTGAGAACTCCCTGACAAGGAGAATTTTCACACAGGTCTAAGAGAAGGAATATAGATAAGACATATAAACTCTGTAGGTTATCATCAAGTTATTTTCTCATGTCTAGAGGATAAGTTCTATGTTTTGAATATGGAAATTCTAGAGATAGCTAGTATTCAGGAACTTCACAAACACTAGATGAGAAAAGAGATAGACAATAACCCAGTTAATGAAATGCTTAAAAGAAAGCACCGGAATTGTGTCTGTATGAAACATTTATGCATATTTGATAAAGAATTAGGACAGCTAAAACCTTGAAACTAAGAGTTAAAAAAACCAACCCCACCGCCCCTGAGTTGATTCTGACTCACAGTGGCCCTATAGATGGTTTCCAAGACTGTAAATCTTTACTGGAGCAGAGAGCTTCACCTTTCTCCCACTGAGTGGCTGGTGAGCTTGAACTATCAACCTTGTGGTTAGCAGTCCAATACTTACCCAACAGGGCCACCATGGCTCCTTACTCACAGTTAAAGGAGGCCTCAAAAAGAAGATATACCAGGTCTTATCTTTCATTATTTCTGGCCCAGACTATGGACAATGAAGGGCCTACCTCCCCTCAGAATCTCTTTCATTCATACTATAAACACAGTGACTTCTAATGAAATAGGTATCCATTTCTAATCTTCCACTGCCTTAAAGAAAAACCTCCTGCCAGCATCCTTCTTCTTAAACTGAGATACCCTGGGGGTGTCGGTGACTACTCAATTTAGGGGTGAGTGGTGAGAAGTTACAGGAAAATCATTTTAAAGCTAAAGCATGAGACTTTGAAAAGCATGGGGAACATCCTGCCTGCATCTTTGAAATCATCAAAACCAACCGACATTACATACGCCACTAAAGAGAAGCCGTTGCAGCCATCACATTAGGGATGAGTTAATTAAATGTCTGATGAAATAGGTAGGGTGAGTTTGCATCTGTTGATTTTATATTGCCCAAAAATGACGTCATGAATATCTGAATGGACCTTGACGAGAGAAAGGTTCCCACCCCACCCATCTTCCCCCGGCAAGTTAGTGAATTGTGTTCACCAATACAAGGCGCTTTAGTGAAAAAAGTAGGGGCGTCCCATCCGAGTGGGAAACCTCCCAGGATCCCCCCGCCCCCGGCCCCCGCCACCACATCAAGCCGCTTTTCTCCTGGGTGTCTCACTGGACCAGAAAACCATTTGTTCTTAGAAGACACATTCGTTTTTGTGTCTGCCGAAGCTTGTTCATGCTGTTTACTCTTCCCGGAATTCCCACCCCTTCCCTTGTCGACATTTCACCGGTTCAGTCATTCAGCAAATGTTCCACGAACTTCACTGTCCGCCAGATGTTCTAGGAGTTAGGCCCTTGGGATGTTAGGGATAAATGAATCCTGTAAAGGTGTAGAAAAGAGCAAGAGGGGGCCCTGCCATACAAGAATATTAGCAAAGGAATCCTAACAGCTGGCATCGTTATGGAAGCAGCGTTGTGATGAGCTCTCTCCATAATCTACATTTTTTACATTAACTTGGGAGAAAGTAGCTTGGCCACCCATAAAACCTGACTCAGAGTCACACAATCAAGATCACGTGTCTCCATGGCGCCTCATACCTGACTTGGCCAGCATGACATCACAGCCCATGTGACTCCATGTATGCTGTTACTTTGCTGCTGCTGTTGCTGTCAGGTAGGCATTCTTTCTGTTAGCAGTTGAGGATTGAGCCATTTGTGCCACAAGGGCTCGGTGAACATATCCCACTATCTAGCTTGATCAGCCACTGTCTGGCCCCCGTGCAAAGGGCCCAGGGAAGAAAGCCTCTGGGCTATATTAAATGTTAACATATACAGTAGGGATCGATTTCTGCATGGCATGTATACTTTTCCAAGTCAAATGAACATAGGCTTTTCAGGTCTGTTTACAACTGATTCATGGCCTCTAAGTAGTCATTTCAGATGACACCTAAGTTATTTACAAACAGTTCTTTAGTATCATTTGTACTGATTACAATTCCAGAAAAGCTTATTAACTCAAAGTATTTGGTATTTTGGATCCAGATTAGGGTCAAGTTCACCTTTATATTGTAGGTGCTTTATGAGAAGTTCTGCCAACAAAACATATGAAGCATATTATTTATGTATGAACTCTTTACTTGCCACAAGTTTTAGAGCCATGTGTTCCCAACAATGTAAGTGCACTGTAAGCAAAAGCTGGTTACTGCTTAGGTAGGTATTTTGATAAGAGCACAGATTATGTTTGTCTATTCGTTAAAACAGCATTCCTGCTTGACAGTACCTCTTTACTCCAGTTCAAGTTACAGTATTTATTTTAAAACAATAAACTATTGCTCCTGTAGAACTTATTGTTTGCCCCAGCCTTTTCATCTTCTTGGACATAACTTTTCCCCAAGTTAACTGACATAGATCTCACTCCACTGAGGAGAGTTAAATGCAGGAAGAAGAGGCCACAGCTAAGAGGATGTCCCAATTAGTCACCTAAGGCTTCAATAGATACATCCATTATATTGGGGGAAAAAGCATGCTTTAATAATGTGAGAGTTGGCAGCAAAGCAATAAATGTCTAACCATGATGAATAGCTAGTTAACCATCTCTACAACAGAAACAATAACACCAAGTCATCCCATTTTTGCCCAGTCTTGCAGATAAAATCCTCTTCCATAGATTCATTTATCTGTTACATTAGGGGTCACTCAACATCTCAAGATAAATAGGAGTACACAGAAAAGGCTTGCCTCTCCTGATAATCATTTATCTTTGTCTTGGGAAAAAGAAACGTGTTTTGTGATTTAGGAAAGAACTCCCCAAACAGTTGAAATTGAAAGTAAAACCATTTCCTACCTGGGTAACTTTCTCCGTCACGTTGTGCGTTCGGTCTTTAACCTTGGGTGCAATAATGGTTTTATCTGAAGAAGGAGGGGATGTGTTCTTTTTTTCTGTTTTGACATCTGAAAAGTTCAATGTGAGCTGTGGAATCTTGTTAATGGTGCTGTATTTGTTGAGGTTTGAATCTGACGTGGATCCCAGGAGGCTTGACTTGATGTGATTAAAAGGCCCTAGAAAGTTGGAAAGCATTTGTAAAAACAGTATCAGAAAAAAAAAAAAGAGAAGAGATGGGTTTTGAATAACCGCTAGTGAACCATGACCAATGTGGCATGATTCAGGCATGACTAAACGCAGCCAGGTGATTCCTGAACACAGGGCTTAGGGCCACCTTCTGCTGCATAAGATAATGGAGGATAAGATTTAAGTCCTGGGTGTACACTCCGAGAGGGGGCAACTTTGGCTCTTAGAAATCTTCCTTCATTAAGGTTTGGAATGAAACGAAGGACCCCACTCCTCGATGTTGGCCAAATTCTAACTTCCAAGATTTTCACAGACTTTGTTTTATGATCTAAGGATTATTCAGGGAAAGGCGTGCTTATGGTAATGCAATTTCTGAGCAGGCTGTCGCCTCTGTTCCACTGTGAGTTATTCTCCTCTTTGGGCCTCTGACCGAGAAGTATCAGGGAGTTGGTCACTCACTGCAGATACTTGCACTTTAGGCTTGAACATCGCCACCGGGTGTCTAGAATGAGGAAGGCGAGGTGGAGGGATTACTGATAAGACTGAGAAAGGAGCAAGGCCCTTGATCTTTATTGAGAGCTTTAGGTTTCTGTGGAGGATTTTCATAGAAAAATCCTTCTTCTCCACCCCCCTCACTCAGATTTAAGACTGACTGCTTCTTGAGGTGGGGAAATGACTCTACCGAGACAGCGGCGGAGGGATTTCTGATGCACGTCACTTATGAGAGAAGAGACACGGTTGAACCTGTGCAGGGTCAGTAGTGCCTGGCTGCTTCTCACGTGCCTCCCTCTGAGGATCACGTGATGACGTAGCAAGACGCTCGTGCTCATCGTTAAGGGTGAGGAAACCGACGAGCTACCTCATCTTTTGAGGGAGAACCTAGTGATTGTTGCTTATGAAGAGTCGAGAACGGCTCCGAAGAGTTTCTTGCACAATGAGCAATACTACCAAGACTATTATTTAGCTCTTAAAGTTGGCAGTAGGAAATATTTTATAGAAACTCTTGCTAGGCATTTCCCATGGCGTTTACCCTCTGTGTCTTTGTGTCTGAAGGAGTGGCTGAAATGCACAAACTTCAGGAGCGCATTTGTTAGTCAGCATATTTCGTCCTGTGCTGGTTTCCCCCTTTAGAATGAAACGGACTTAAAGCACCGAGGGCATTATTGGTAATGACACTTACAGCCTGAGTTTTATGCAATAGTCATTCAACTCAGATCAGATAAAAATTCTAAACAATGAAAATATATCCACCACATCACTTATATTTGAACTGTAGTGGCAAAAACCACACTATAGTGTTTGTTAAAGTTTGACGTGTGGTTTTGTTTTCTATGTAAGTTGTCATTTTGAATCGATGTAAGATTTTGAATCGATCTGAGATTTGGAACCCATGTAAGATTTGGAACCCATGTAAGATTTGGAATCGATGTAAGATTTGGAATCAATGTAAGATTTGGAATCAATGTAAGATTTGGAATCAATGTAAGATTTGGAATCGATGTAAGCTGTCATTTTGCTCGGTCCCCGAGTTCCATCCCGAGGATAACAAAGCCCATCAAGGGGGGACATGTCACTGAACTCTCCCGGCATTTATCATCTGACATGTTCCTATTTGCATATGAATTTGCACTCTTTTCTATTTCTACAAGGGTAGACAGAGAACCATAGTGGCACCCAATTAATCTCGCCTTCAGACAGGCCTTTCACAGAATCCTCATGCTTCAGGACTTTGCAAATGCCTCCACCTTACTGTACTGACTTGTTAATATAACACATTCCATATAGTATTCTATTTCCCTGACCCTTAGCTCATTGGAGTATACAGAGAAGCTGACAATGGCTTATAGATGGTTAAATAGAGGTTGAATTGTGTTTGAAACTCTTGATTTATTAATCCTCTTTTTACATATGTCTCTCTGTGTTGCACTTGGGTAGCTGTCTACAGAGTTGCTAAAAAGGATGGTAAAAACAAATAATCTGTGAGGTTTAGTAAGCAAAACTACTTCCAGCCTACTTAGACTGTCCTTGGGACTAGCTCCAATAAGTCACTCAGTTGGCCATATTGATACATGTTAAGTGTCAACTACATCAGTATTTTATCCTAAACAGCATTTGAGGGGCCACTTTTTGTCGTTAGTGATAGGAGGTTGCTGTTCCCTCAGCCTAAAAGACTGCTCAGTATGTTCCAATGGACATTGAGGTAGGAGAGAAAATTGGTTGTAATGTCTGGAGCCCTGGACCTGTTCCCATAGCAGCAGCACAATGGACTTTTTACATGATATTGGAGATGTTTATGCTTCACTTTCCAGGGCTGCATCCACTGTGCAAATAGAGGATTATTGATGGTTTTGTTTAGAACTTTGCCACCAGTGAAAGACATAGCACTTAGCAGGTAGATTTTTTATGGCCCTTGAGTAGCCAGTACAAGACAGGCGCTCCGGTCCATATTTGCAGCTGTCATGTATGAATATGGAGGAGAGGATACTTATTTGGAATCAAATGTTAAAATGTGCAGAAATCACACTAAAACAAATTTCTTTAAATTCTTTATACTGTTCTTGTCTATATAAAATGATATGTAATCAGATTAACAGAACTATATACATTAAGCACTAAAGACCTGGGCTTATTTGTCTTGGAGTTGCCTGTTATTTCTCAATCTCACTCTAATAACTCGGCAGGGATCTGCCAGAACGTCTCTATAATGTCTTGAATGACATTTCTCTTTTCAATCTAGCTTCTATTTCCCCTTACCGATGGAAACAGATGGTCTGCAAGGTTCTTTTTGGATAGCAGCTGATGAATGTGTGCCCAGAATTAGCAGAATTTCTTTCTTCTGTTCAATTCCTCACTACTGCATAATATCATATAGAGAATAATTTTGATATCATGTTTTAAAAGAAGGGCCAATTTATTTGTGAGAACATCCTACTTCCTAATTTTCTCCATAACGAGTCTTGATACATTATTAATGATTAAATTTTTTATATTTCTCACTTTTAAAAATCATGTGTAAATAACTTCATTTGTTGTTATTTATCTCCATGGTGGTTTTAATTCTGTTAAAATTCTGTTCATAGCCTTAATGCTCTTAAAGTCAATATGGTTAACTGATTATGTCATAATATCTTTCACTGTAGCTATGCTTCAAAGACACACTAATACAAATATTTTATTGTTATTATTTCCTTTGATTTCTCCTTTATATTCCAGCCATGGTATCATGTTGATCTTTTGTAAGTAATGCACACAGAGTCTATTACCTCTGAATTTCATTTCAGGACAGTGACTCAGTATCACAAAACATTTGTTGAGACAAGAGGCAGTGAGTCTGAAGGCGTTGAGAAACTGGTGGTAAATACTGCCAATGTGTCCCAGTTTCTAGTTTAGATTTACTCACTATTGGAAGAATCTTCTCAGTGATTAGCCTCTTTTGAGTAAAAGTTCCCAATTTTAGAGATTTTAATCTACATTGTGTTTTAAATCTATAGACCTAATGAACTCAGTAAAAACTGAAAATATTATTTAAAGTAATTCAGCCATGCTACCTTGATCATTTACAACTTATTTAATCGGTCACAACAAGATCTGTGAACTTCATTCCACTGATGTTGAAGCAAACTTTAAATGCAGATGTCTTTTAGGGTATGCAAGATGATCAGGCATAGCTCAGGTTCCTCTAAAACCCAATGAAGAATATTTCTACAACTCTCACTACAGTAGGCATTAGCAATATTCTTATATCACTACTTATTGTTGGTAGGTGTCTCTGATTATAAATGTAAAGCAGACAGGACATGAGGCCAATAGGGAACAGGAACGAGGAACTGGAAGCCAGAATAAAGGGTTGTCTACATTCAGAGAGGCCAGGGTTGAGGATTTAAAGGTGACAGGTACTCTCACTGATAGTGACCATGAGTGGATGGGATTTAGAATTTTAATTAAAAAAGGAGAATAACCTGAAAAACAGGTAAATTAATTTCAGACGATGAGTGGACATGGGAAGTAATGGATTCAATAGAAAGGGATTAAAATTTCAAAAGTAAATAGCAGCACATATCTTCTGAATATGATCGAACAATTAAATAAATTGTATGATATGTGAAGTATATGCCAATAAAATTATTATTTTTAAGAAAGTATACAGGAGGCTTTTTTAGGGACACGACTGCAAGACGAATGACCAGAACAGATTTTCTAATCTACCAGAAGTAGAAGGAATCCCGGTGATCAAGTAGACAAAACCAACATCTAGGTAAAGCTTTACTATATTAAGAATGTTTAATTAATTATAAATCAACCTAAGTTCTAGATTCAAAGAAATCAGCAGTTGGAGCCCATTTGCTCCTATATGACTCATTGGCAGGCCTCTCTTGCCACCTCAGCTTAACTGAATCTGAGTCTATATGGTAACAAGATGAATCTTTGAGATCGGGAGGGGGGCCTTGTTAAAATGTAGATAGATACTGATTCCGTACATCTCAGTGGAAAGGCAGACTCTCAACAAGCACAGAGCCCCATTCTAATCCTTGCAAGAAATGCCCTACATTAAGATATCAAGCTGGAGGCTAAAGCCACAAGTGGGCAGAGCGGTAGGCTAAAGGTAACTGAAGTTAATATGATGAAACTATTTAATTTATCATGAGATACAATATGCTAAAGAAGAATATCTTATCTTTCAGATGGTGCTAAAAACATACATTTTGTTTCAAATGCTATCCCCCCACCCCCAGATGGGAGGGGAGCGGAGAGAAAAAAATAGGGTGGGGCTGTTTTCTAATCACGAGGGAAGCCTTTATCTAGTACTTCTTAGGGCACTAAGTTTATGTGACAAAAGTTCAATGACATTTCTAGGGCACCTTTACATGAAGGAAAATGCAAACACAGTGCTTGCCAATTAAGCTTTGAAAATGAGCACTGTCAATAAGTATAAGGCAACCAGTTTAACATAAATTATTTATATTCAATGTCCATGTTGTCTTCTAAAGTGTTTGGCACATGATTTACGGAAGAGGATTGTTAGCACTGAAAATCAATTTCCAAATGCTTATAAAATCACAAGCTATAGCCTGCACTGCTTGTGAGAAGCAGGTTCGATTGATTTCCTTTCAAAGTCAGTGACCGATTTCAGAGCTGGAGAAGAGGTGAAAGATGCACTAAGCCTTGAGAGGAGTTTCTTCTCTGACTCACGTGACAGACTCATAGACAAGTTGGAAACTGAACATACCATCATCGACAGTGAAGTTCCGGGTTACTTGCCATCAAAGGGGAGTGGAGGCATTAGAGGGGTGAAATAACATGAGTCATCTTTATTGATGATTTGAGAAGTAGGATAAGCAGGAAAAAATGCAGAATTTGAACTCAAGAGTAAATGACGGTTGTATTTGATCATCCGTTCACACATTAGAGGAACTGTTAAAAACCACACATCAACATTAGTAATGACCCACGGTTGCCCACGTCCAGTGAGGATGGATGAAGAAGAGAAAACTATGTTTTGGGATGAAGGATTTAGATTTTCCCTCTGTCTAACAAGGAGGCTTGGTGCTGCCAGGATTTATAGCCTCGGAAACCCTTTATAGGTCACTATGAGTCAGAACTGACTCAATTGCAGTAGTTTATATTTATTTGGCTAATACTTCCTAAAAATCATCTTCCCAAGAACTTAAGAGTGACCTTCTCTAAAGATAAACATAACACGTGTGCATATTGATTTAGGGAACACCTCACCTGAAGTGAATATACCAGATGATATTACAAAACCTTCCAAATGCATTGTTAAATGATTTATTTTATTTCGGTTTAAAATAAATTTTGGTTGACTTAGGTTTTGACACAATTAGCCACTGTTATGCATTTTACATGTGAAACACTGTGGAGATTTAAGTTCTACTTTTTAATCTTATACTTAGATTGTGTTTCAAAACCAAAGCAAAACATCCCAATTCATTGCCACAGAGCTGATTCTGACTCATAGCAGCCCTCTAGGGCAGCGCAGAACTGCCCTGGTGGGTTTCTGAGACTGTCCATCGTTAGGAAGTGGAAAGTCTCGCCTTTCTCCGGAAGAGTGGCAGGTCCTTTTGAACTGCCCACCTTGAGGTTAGCAGCCCAACGTGTAGACATTACACCACCAGGGCTCTTTGTTTAGAGAAGAATCCAATCAATGAAAAAGGACAGTTAATGTGTAGTCCTAAAACTAATTAGTATATTAGTTGCTTTGTGAAAAACTTAAAGTCTAAATACTTAGACACTGTGTAATAGTTTTCAAAACAAGGGCATGAGTAAATAATGAAGGTACCAGAAGGCATATTTGCATTTCAATTTTTATTAAGTTTGCAGTTAATAATGAAGTGTGTTATATGATTTTAGAGTTTAACTTTATAGTCAATAACATACAAATACATTCTAGAATAGTGGAGGGATTCCTACTCCAAGTTTTGACTTCGGTGAGACTAAAATTTGCTTTAAGTTTTTATGGTAAATTTGATATTGGATTTATATTTTGTAAATTTAAAAAAGAACATTTTCATTTAAAGACTATTGTCATTTAAAACTAGGGGATTATGGGAAAAAAGATAGCGGCTTAAAACAGTGAGTTCATGAGACAAAGCAAAAATGACTGTAGCCTGCAGGACCACTGGGTGGATTAGCACTTTGGAAGATAGGAAAGCCCAATCCTCTCTCGACTGAGGAAATGATAGCTATGTTTCTCACTGAATTAAAGGAAATAATTGGGAATTGGATTTCGACTAATGTATTGTAAATGATTAAAGGCTAAAGCCAGTTTTATTTCACAGACGTTGGCAAGAGCTGTGTGTTTTCTGTTTTGAGGCTACACTTCGCAACACATCAACTCAAAACCAGCGTCAACAGCTGACAATCATTTGTTTACTTTCAGAAATCACAGTGGACAAGAACAGAATCATCCTGTAGTGAAAAATTGCATGCCAATATAAAAAAGACCTGTATAAACCCTTTTCAAAATGCTCATTTAAAAAAGTGTAAGGAGAGGGGATGATGCCACATTGCTCTCATTTTTAAAATATCCTTGGCTGCTAATTAGATCACATCCACAGTCTCCAGTGCCGCTTACTCAACAGCTCTGAATGAACTGAGGAAACAGCGGTGAAATCAATGCACAAACTCTGTTGATCAGAGCACCAGTGACATACGGAAGAGGCCACACGGTGGATCTAAGCAATGATGGTTACTGGTGGAGACATGTTCATGCAACACACATGCACAGAATGAGTCAGTATCACCATACGCATACCCACAGCAGCATGCATGGCCTAAAGCGGAAACCCTATGCCGACTTCTCAATTTGATGAGAATAACGTGATGGATCATTCTACTTGTGATCCTTAGTATCTGCTGTGATATTGTAGAAAATAGAGATGGATTACACATTTTTTAAGCAAGTCCACGTTTATCCAGAGGTATTACCCAGTTACACATAGCCCTATGGTAGCTGTAGGTCATGCCAGCGATTTCAGACTAATATAGGACACAATTAAAATGATTAGAATGTAGTACAGAAAATAGAAAATGACTCTCATGCATGTACAATTTACTACTACAGGAATCTTAAAACCATACCCCCTGCCATCCAGGAACGTGAAACTAGTGTCAAGGAAACAAAAGAGGAACAAGTGAAGAGAAGCTGAGGTGTAGCGCTTTTCGTATTTTCTGTAATACTGTAATAATTTTCTTCTTTTGGTGTTGGCTGAAATAGGTTATGTACTCTTTTATCATACTGGAATATAGTTAGCTTGGCATTTGTTTCTTTCAGATAGTTTAAATACTCAGGCAGTATTCATTGTCAAGTTAGGCTTACACCTTCCCCAAATGCCCCACCCTCTCCCCCATACAGGCAAACGGAGCGCATCATCATTTAGTCATCCAGCTCAGGAAGTACCAATGCCTCCAACCAAACCAAGCCAGGCTGTCTCCACCAGGCACCTGGACTAACTAAGGGCAGCATGAAGATGTGGCATTGAACAGGGCAGACAGCAGGCACATTTACATGCCAGGTCAAGGGTCACTGTACGAGATGGTGAGATTTGTGATCGTACATTACCTTTGACATTGCGACCATTGTCTGTTTTGGAGCATTTCAGGATAAAAAAGAGAGAAGTAGAAAAAGATGACAAAAACAGTAGTATGCACACTACATTACTTCTATAGAAACAATCAGAGAAATCAGTATATAAAAACAGGAAACTCTATCAATGGAAATGAACAATTTTTATTAGTCAAAATAAAACATACTAAAATAAATCTGTGATAATAAGTATTCATGTTTTAATATATGAAGTGTTCGTCACTTACTTTAAATGGGTTTCAAGAGAGACACCTTGTCATTGTGACAGTCTGGAGAAAGATGTCCCCAGCTGTCCTCAGTTGTGATCACAACTTTCAACCTGATCCGAAACTGGTTTTAGCATTCCCTCAACAGGAACTTATGTTGATTATACAAAGGATAACTACATAAAATTTTGCCCACTAAGTAAATTTTTCATATAATATAGGCTATTACACTAAAAAAGAATGTTTCTAAGACATCAGATAACCTTAGTAAACCAGTTTGCATTATTACTTACAATTTTATTAATTCCCTCATAATAAAAACATTTCAATGCATATTTTGAAAATAACATATAACTCCAAAAGTTCCTTTCTAGATCAAAGTAACTGCAGGAAATTATTGTAGGGTTTGACCGTTTGAAAGGAGAATAGGCTTCTTATTTATGTTGATAATGTACTCAATGGAGTACCTAGTATCCTCAGAAATCCATTTATATTACAATAGGTGGCTTTCAAATCTCATAGTGGAGTGTTTTCTGATTTACTTTGAGATTAGCGCTCTGACTCTTTAAGCATATTGGCTGTCAACAAAATATGCATTGTTAGTTTTGAAACAAACACACTTAAAACAAATGAAGTCATGTCAAAATCATTCAAAGATATCCAAGATTTGAAAAAAAATCTGTCCAACAATTTGTTGGTATCTATCCTAACACTGTGCATATTTAAAATCTTTGAATATATCATAATTGTTTCAAAGCTTGTAATGAGAGCAATTCCAATAGTATGGTCTATGGAATTGCTGGAATAGACATGACCTTGGATCAAGATGCACAAAAAGAGTGTGTCTCACATGACAACTCTGTTCCCTCTTTGAGGGATCACACAAAGCAAATAATATAGGAGAATGGCAGTGAGAAGTCTTGGATTAGGTAGAATGAATGCCTCCGTCAGAAGCTAGGTTCAGAAATGATGGATAAAATAACAACTGCCTGTGAATATCTAATAGCTGTAATTCTACTCAGTAAAACTGGGCTATAAATAGATATTACATATATATATATATTATGTATGTAATTATAAATGACAAGGACCCCAAGCAAAAGTTACGTATGGTTAAAGTTGCTTTGACATTGTAAGGCAGTATATGTGGTCTGTGCCTTGCTGCTAGCTGAGATCTGTATGGTATCCATGCTTGACAATGTAAGTGCAGAAATCAGAGCAAGCATTTAGAACCTTTACAGAAATTTGGCAGAGTAGTTATGCTATGTCACTGATTCCAAATATAAAAATTTGGGGCTTATGACATTATGTAAGTCTAATTTAAAATTTTATTATTCTAGTAATATATATTTATTGTCATTAAAAAGCTATTAGTACATGACAGGTTAGAAAAAAGTCATCCCAAATGGTTTGAAAATTCTAGTTTTAAGGGTAATAAATGAGAGCATGGTATAAAATCTTATACACTAATATCTTTACAAAATATTTAAAGTTCTAGAAAGATACTTTTCTCCTATCTGGAGAAGGGAATGTTCTCTCCCTGAATGAGAAGGCAACAATTTGAATTTAAAATTCTGTATTTGGGACTTAACCTATTGAAAAGAAAATACATGGATTCAGAAAACAAGAATCTATTTTGAAATACATTCCATCTCCCTTTGCTAATAGATAAGTTTCTAAAATCTTTTTGAGTAGAATACTTGGAAGTATACTTATGAGATATAGCTGTTTCTACAAAACTCAGTGATTTTCTAACTGAAACTGCTGTAAAATGGAAGTACAAAACGCCGTCTAAATGCATCGTCTCAGTCATGTGTTAACTGCAGCCTCTGGACCACAGTAAGGCAGCTATGCATATTTTCTGAAAATAACATAGCCTAGGTGGGGGCGGAAAATTAAGGATGAGCTTAGCACCAAGTGTATATGGAAAGTACTTGTGTGGAGGAATCCAAATATATTAAATCATCCTTTTCCATATAAGGCACTTAATTGTATCAGTAACTGTGTACTAAGTAGAGACCACATAGACCATAACAGCCACGTTAAATGAAAAATCTTATCTACACTACTCAGGACTACCGTCGTAAGTCTGTGCCAAACACTAAAATTCTACCAGTGTAAGCTTTTAAAATTATTTTTATTTAAGGTGCTAGGCAATAAAGTCAAAATCCGAAAAGCCTACCTGATTGCTAAAGTGACACCACCAAGCGGGCTCGCTGAAGCTCACGGTGGTCAGTTCAGTGACCACCCTATGCTGTCTCTACGATGCAAGGACAGAGACTTGCATGTTTGTTGTGCTTGTTCCATCACAGGACCATCGCTCACAGATCAGCTGACAGAGATTTCCTCCTGCCAGGAGACCCCACCCACGCCACTACTAGGTGGAATAGTGCTTCGATGAGTATTCAACTGGAGGAGTGTTTCTGGATTTCCTTTTGATTCTCTTTGGACCACAAAATAAAATGGATGAGCCAATTGCTCTTGTACTATATACAGAGAACCTTCAAACATTTGGTAGAAAAAATTCATTATCTTTGCATTCAAATTTTCCACGAACTTTGGGAAGTTCACTTGGACACTTCTTTTGAAGGCTAGAGGACTAGGAAAAAAAACCAATCCTTCTGTTTCTGTGATACTGACTTTGATGATTTTCCTGCCTTCTTTACTTCCACAACTAAACGCACTGCCAAGTCAATGCTGATTCTCAGCGCCCTCTGGTGGGCCTTGGAGACTGTAATTGCTCACAGGAGTAGAAAGCTCAGTTTTTCTCCCGAGGAGCTGCGTTGGTAGAAACCATTGTTGACCATGTGGATCTTTATTGCTCTTTAAATAAAGTCACCTCTTAACTCAATCTTTAAGATTCTCTCTTAAATTTCAGTGTCCTTGACTCGCTATTTTCCAATGTGTGTGGTTGAGGTACATAAGTCACAAGCAAGGGCCCTTTCAATATCACACAAACATTTATCAGGTACCTGCCAGGAAGGAGGCAATTGGACTAAGGAAGCAGAACTAATTAAGCCATTGCTCCTGTGTGGAAGGGACTTACGGGAACATAATTGCTTGCATACCTAACAGTGATGGCAAACACAGATAATAAAATGCAATATTATATATATGTAGCATTTGAAGTAGGTCTTTAGTTCTGAATAGTTGTGTTTAGAGGGACCAAGTGGAAAAGAGTATTCTAAGCAGAGCAAAGAAGCGAACAGAGTAATGAAGCAAGAAAGCACAAGGTATATTTTAGGGAAAAAGACAATTAAGCTTGGTGCAGGTTTAGAAGCCACAGTAGGGAGCGCAGGGACTAGAATGATTTGAAAAGTAACGGTGGCCAATTGTTACAGTGCATTCTGCTAAGGAGCCTCAAGATGAGGTCTGCTTTAGAGAAAACACTAGCACGGGCAATGATGGCAGCCTCAGGAGCACACAGCTCAGAAAGTGCAGCTGACCTATCAAGAATGTAAACATCTGGGATTCAGAAAACTGGCTGGTGTATGCATGCCTCAATATTCTGATCCTCAGATCTTTGGGGGAAAGTTCAGGGACTCATCAGACCCCAGCTACTTGAAGGTTCAGGGTAGCAGGAGTCTCTCAAACTCACTGCCATCAGTGACCCTATAAGACAGAGAGGAACTGCCCCTGTTGAGTTTCCAAGACTAACCCTTTGCAGGAGCAAAAAACCCTCATCTTTCTCCCGAGGAGCCGGAGGTGGTTTTGAACTGCTGACCTTGCGGTTTAGCAGCCTGACATTGCTTGGATTGGTTGTGGACTCTGAAGACAGGGAGCCCTGGATTTGAATCCAGGTTCTGACAGTGATAAACTCAGAAACCTAGGACAGGCTACTTATGTAACATATGTCAGCCTCAGTTTCTTCATTGACAGACATGAAGAATAGCTTAAAATAGCTCCTCACAGATAAAGAGGAGTTATGAGAATTAGATGAGAGTTACTATGTATAAACTATTAACATTGCTTCACACATTAGAAATATTCAAATTTCATCCAATATCGTGCCACTAGCAGTCATTTTTACCAATGCCTCTTAAACATCTTCCTTTGCCTACAAGGAACACTGGTGGCTGAGTGGTTCCAGTGTTTGACCTCTAACCAAATGGCTGGTGATTGCAATTCGCTCAGCATGTTCATGGACCCAAAGACCTGATACTTTGGTCCAATAAGGATTCAGACTATAGGGCACTTTTGTTCTGTCAGATGGGTCTGCTAATAACAACAGCCCCTTTCCCTCGTAGTTACTATAAGAATGTGAGCATAAAAAAAGTGATACATTAATGATACTTTGATTTTCAAGTAGATTTTGGGTGAAAGCAGGACACACAGGTGTATTTCCCCACCTGAACATCTCTTAAATTCCAATGCAGCCCTGGACCCCCGAGTCTGTAGTTTCTGATCATTCAGCAGATTGCATTTCATAGTTCTAATCCTTTGGGGGAAAGCAGTTTAAAAAAACAACCCAAACAAAACAATTGTATGATGGCACAACAGATTTTTCTGCCAAGGGCATGATTGTTTGCTAAGTGAGGCAAGATTAATTATTCTTGAGATCACAGTGTTCATCACCTAAGAACATCTCATAATAAGCATTAATTAATTAACACACCAAGAGGTGGGCACATAATGGTTATCATACAATTACAGAAAACCAGGCACCGAAGCCAGAAGGAAGCAAGTTACTCATTAGGATTCAAAGAGAAATTCAATAATAAATCCGAAATAAAAGACTCTCGTTTTTATGAGCTTTTAGTCACAATTTTTCCCTCTGCATACAGATTCATGGTGAAAAAGCAATCATATGAATATAACCTTTCATTACCCACTAATATGTGTTTCCATATATAAAGAAATCAAACATACCTTCACTGGCATGCCGGTCTCTAAATCTGCTCTTGGGGTGGACATTTAATCCTTCTATCTCATGTACCGAAGATGCCCTCCGTACGCTACAAAGGCTTTCCCTGGATCTGGAGTGGGTCAGCTGAGAAGTGGACTGGAGCATGTCCGGGTAGAGGCTGTCCCACTGCCGTTTGGGAGAGGAGTGGTCCAGGGGTCCGGATATATTCACCAAGGGAGAGCATTGGCTGGGCTGGATCAAGGCTTTTGTATCGTCGGCTTCGGAGGGGCTACAGCTGTCTTTAGTAGGAGATTTAAAGTGCTTCATGGCTACCGAGTCATCGCTGTGTTTGGATGAATCAATTACTACCACATCAGGGTCCTCTTGTGGTAAGGACTGTTTTCTGTAGGTGAGAACTCTTAGCCCAGGGAACTTCAGCCCAAAAAGTTTGCCTACAAATAGAGAAAGGGAACAGCATTACTATAATATAAAAGCGTATAAACAAAACGAAACTATTACTACCAACACTGTTGACTCATATAAAACTATGTAAAAATTTAGTAGTCAGCACTTAATTAGGGAGAAACATGGTAGGGTTTTTTTTTGTATTATCATAGAAATTGTAAGAAAACAGTAAAATTCCATTGCCATATTTCTGATGGTAAGATAGTCTCAATGGCATGGAATCATTATTTGAGTTGCACCATGTTTTTCATTTTCAGTTTTAAATGAAAAACATATCCACGATCCATCACCCTGTCAAGGGAATGTAAGGAATGAGCAGTTTAGGAAAAAAAGGGCGGGGGGGTGGGAAATGACAGGGCAATATGTGTAACGACCCAGAGACACAAGTAGAATAGGCTGTATGCGTGCTCACGTGTAGGGGTAATGCAGTGGAGGCAGAGGGGAGGAAGTGCAGTAGGGGTGAGGAGCTGGCCTGACGTACCTAGCCAGTTTGTGTTGGATGAGTTTGTGAATTTAGCTTACATGGGAAAGTGGACTTCACTCTACATGAGTGGCTCCTCATTCCATCTGAAATTCTTCAAAGGCTTTTTATTCCAGAAATAGATGTATCATGGGGTTAAAATTTTCTTTGACCTGATAGTTTTCATTTTAAACCTGAGAGTAGGATCCACAGCAAAAGAAGGCAATGCTCAGGTCATTGAAAAAAAACCCCAAAACTCCCAACACAAAAGTATAGAACCAAAGAGCTTCACTGAGAATCTCCCCCCAAGTGTCCTGTGTCTCAATTCCTTATTTTTATTTCTTGATAGCCTATTCAAAGTACTAACCACAAAGTTCAAGGGGGAAAAAAGTGAACAGTATCACAAAGCAAGGAAGCCCCCCTCATCTCTGTCTCTTTAAACTTTAGTAAGTCACATAAACCAAAACATATATTCGGTTATAGTATTTCTCTGATAATGAAAAGAGGTAACTTGGCTAGCTATATAGAGAAACATTTTTTGCCTCCGTTTTAAAAAAATCACTTTGAGGGCTCTTGCAGCTCTTATAACAATCCATACATCAATTGTGTCGATCACATTTCTGCATATGTTGCCATCTTCATTTTCCAAGCATTTTCTTTCTACTGGAGCCCTCTTTTTCCCTCCCTCACCACCCTCCCACCCTCGTGAACTCTTGATAAATTATTATGATTTTCATATCTTACACCACCCACTGTCTCCCTTCACCCCCGTTTCTGTTGTTCGTCCCCCTTGGGGGACGGTGGTGGCTATATGTTGATCATTGCAATCCGTTTTCTCTTTCTCCCCCCACCTTCCCCCTACCCTCATGGTATTGCTACTCCCTTGAGGGGTTTATCTATTCTGGATTCTATGTGTTGAGAGCTCTTATCTGTACCAATGTACATGCTCTGGTTTAGCCAGATTTGTGAGGTTGGACTGGGTCATGATAGTTGTGGGGAGGAAGCATCAAAGAACTAAAGGAATGTTGTGTGTTTCGTCAGTGCTATACTGCACCCTGGCTGGCTCTTCCTTTCCTTGTGACCCTTCTGTGAAGGGATGTCCAATTGTCTACAGATGAGCTTTGGGTCTCCGTTCTGACCCTCCTCATTCACATCAATATGATTGTTTGTTTTGAGTCTTCTGATGCCTGATACCTGATCCTGTTGACACCTTGTGATCACACAGGATGATATGTATCTTCCATGTGGGCTTTGTTGCTTCCCTGCTAGATGGCTTGCTTGCTTAACTTCAAGCCTTTAAGACCCCAGCTGCTATATCTCTTAGTAGCCAGACACTTTCAGCTTTCTTCATTTGCTTATGCACCCATTTTGTTCAGTGATCACGTCAGGCAGGTGAGCAGCACAGAATCCTGAGTTATTACAACAAAGGGTTCTTGTGCTGAGGGAGGGCTTGAGTAGAGGCCCAATGTCTGTCTGCTAGGTTAATATTTAATATATGAATTTATGTACATAGACCTATATCCCTATGTCTGCTAGGTTAATATTTAACATATGAATTTATGTACATAGACCTATATCCCTATTATTATATATTAATATATTTACATATATACATGCCTATATTTCTACCTCTAAAAATGTCTTTTGCCACCTAATTCTTTCCTCTATTTCCTTTTACTTTCGTCCTGTCCCACTATCATGTTTGACCTTCATTTGACTCTCAGTAGTTCCTCTCAGCTACACTGCACTTGATCAAACCCCACCAGACATTCTATGCCCTCCTTTCCATCAATTTTAAATCTTTTGTTGTTCTCTTGTCCCTGGTCGTTGAGAGTCGTCTCGGGAGACAGCCCTCTTTGGCTCCACAACTCTTCCATCCACGTTCTGTGGCCGTGCATTCCTGGCTGCGTCCACCTCTGCGGCCACCAGTTTCCAGCACTGCACTGCTTCGACCTCTTTGGCTAGCAGCGGCACTGGCCAGTTCTTCTGTTCCCAGGGCTTTCTGCACTTGACAGTTGTGGCCATTCACAGTTTGGTATTTCCAAGTGACCATCTTATCCACGGAGTCCCGGCCATCTAAAGTCACAAAAGCAAAGCCTCTCCTTGCCACTTCCTCAATCAGTCAGGATGTCAATTACTTCAATTTTTTCATCTTGCTCAAAATAATCTCATAGGTGGTGTTCCTCAGTCTTCTGGTGCCACTGACAGAGATCTTTTTCACAGTTCAATCGACACCTGGTCGTTGAGAGTCGAGAGACAGCCCTCTTTGGTACCACAACACTTCCATCCATGTTCTGTGGCCGTGCATTCCTGGCTGCGTCCACCTCTGCCATGGTAAGGCAGGTGACAACCCTCTGCCCTCTGTAGTGCTTGGTCCTTGGATCCTTCTGACCCCCCAGTCCGTGAGCGTCCCCCACGGCTCTCAATGGCTCCACAGAATCTCATCTGCTGTGTTCGAAGCTAACCCCTCCCATGTCGGGTGTCTGCAACTGCTTGGGCTCTTTAGGAGACTCTGACTTTGACGTGACAGAGAGAGGGGTGAGGGGGGTGGGTAACGTAACCCTAACAATGCTTCCTTTGTGGTGTCTGTCCACAGGCAGAAAGCTATAAATGCTCTTAGCAAAAACATTTGAATCCTAGATATATATATATATATATATCACATGAGAGTGGTGAAACATTGGGAAGAACATACTCCACACATTTCATGTTGATCATCCCAGGTAGATGATCTGGAAGTTTTCAATAGGAGGTTTACTATACTACATTATTTTTTATTTATCTCTATTATTTGATAGTTTGGTCAGGCATGCAATGAAAACAAAACAAATAATGAAAACCAAACCAACCCAAACAGGAGCCAAGTTAAATCCCTAAGCCGAAGAGAAAACAGAAAGATAAAGAAAGCAGCCAAACAATATTCTGGAATTCAAAGCTTCTCTAATTATCGTCTACAAAAATGCAGACTTTTTAGTTTCTATTGCCAACACAGTAGTCTAGGCCACACTACACCGTGACTTTGTAATGCTATGCTTTCCTCCCCTCTAGTCAGCCTGTGTGCTTGGACTATGCTATTAGCTACCTTCCTATGTTCTTTCAGTATCATGGAAATCATTATTCTTATTTTATGTACTAGGAGCTTTTCCTCATTGCATTCAGAATGATTCTGCATGGATGACACTTTTAAAACTTATAACAGTTTTTCATGTTATTCCACTGTAGGCTTCCATGAAATAGACTTGTCTGCACATGTCTTTTCGATTATTCTCTTTAATCCAATGACTCATATATTTGTATTTGTTACCCAGCCTTCATCTCTGAGTTCTGAACCCGCATATCTACTGGCCTCATCACATCTCAATTCAGCAATTGTAGGCACAACTCACAATCTCATAGGAATGCACTGCTGGTGGGATTGTAACGTGGTACAAGCACCGTGGAAAACAATATGGCACGTCCTCAGAAAAGTTGGAAATAGAAATACTTTCTAATCCAATGATGCCACTTCCAGCTAGACAGTCCAGAACTCTAACAGCAGTATCACAAATAGACATATCCACACCTATGATTATCGCAGCAGTATCCACAATGGCAGAAAGCCAGCAACAACCTAAGTACCCATCAATAATTTTAGTAAATATAGAACTATGGAATATGACATAGCTACAAAGAATAATAGCGAGTCATGAAAATATTTCATAACATGGATACATCAGGAAGACATTATGCTCAGTAAAATAAATCACTTCAAAATGACAGATAATTCTTAGTCTAACTCAGTGGATTGATGTTGTTGCTGTTTTGTTGTACTTTGTTGCTTGGTTTTGCTCTGTCTTGTTTTTATGCATGTTGTTGTCTCCGCAGGCCTGTGGATAGGACAGGCTGGATGAACGATCTGTAGGAGAAAACAACGGGACTGACAGTTCCGGGGGGACATGGGAGAGGGGGAGGAGGGGGGAAGG